AAAATCAAATCTTCAGTTTAAAGACAAGATTGTATCGTATAGAGCTTTACTTTACATGCGAAACCCAAATCTGAAACACCCACGGAAAATTGAACAAAAAGCAGCAAATTACTAATATTAAAGAAATCCAACAATTAATTGATTGTCAATTTATTTTTTTTAATGGAAAATTGAATTTCAATTCTTGTTGCAGGGTTCTCAGCTATTGTGGGTTAGTCCATCCAAGAGGAGCTACCGTCGGCTTTTTCTTGTTGCACAACTATCAGTGCTGGGAGCGGGTTACGCTGGAGAAGGTTGTACTGGTTATATTTTCACGACTCAGCTTGAAAATGCCGGGGAAGAGCCACGGAAACCGCCTCCGATAAAATGTTGCGGAACCGAACCAGGATGTACATGTTATCATCCGGACAATCGTTTAGTTGGGTGTATAGCACCAGCTGCAACTGCAAGAGAAAGTTGTGTATGCCTTTTTTTCGGGTGAACAATACAATTGGAAACCACATGTGTGTCTGATACTGAAAGAGGGAGCCCGAGGAGGATTATGCACATGTTGGTTAAGTTGTACAGAGAAAGAGAATAGCGAGCACTCATCAGAAAACAATCCGGAACAAAAACCGGAGAAGAACAGTCCACAGGACACAGAGGAAGAGATGGATTCTGTGTCAATACAGCTACAGCAGGAAAATGCGAGAAAAATGAGGAATCGTATAAGAAAAGAGTTATTTGCTGCTAAACTTCCAGGGACAATCTTAGGTACAGTGCTTGCAAGTTGCAGCAGTGTTTTCTACCGAATTTTTCATCAAGATTTCAACAGCAGTGACGGTAATCAGTTATAATTTGTTCCTCTGGATGGGTGCTCAGTGTTACAACCTTGGTGAAATGGAGAAACATGATAAAAAGGAGGAAGAGAAAATTGATGGAAAGGATGAAAAGCAAAATCCGGATGCTTTAGTTCCAGAGTTAAAGAAAGCAGTCGAAGTGGCTCGAAAACTAATACCTTTATGGCTAACATTCGCATCTACGTGTTATCTAGCTAATGCAACGGCTGACTCTTTCTTCATGGAACAAGTTGATTATCTAGAAAAGAATACCGAAAGCTTCAAGATTCAAAAATCCGTTTTCTACTCCTTGCCGGATATTGTCTCCATCATAACCGGACAGGTGAGCTATTATCTAGTCGAGCAGTTCCATGATGAAAAGAAAGAAGGGCGGTGGGCTAGGCTCCTCAGAATCAGCGTTGGTATGCTTTTTTCCTCTTCGTGTTGCTTAGTTGCTTCTCTTGTTGCTCACAGATTGGATTCCAATTATAATTCTACCAGCATGTCGTGGCTTCTGCCCCAGTTTCTTCTGTGGGGAATGATGAAAGGAATACTGGAAGAAGGGTTAGAAGAATTTCTCCATGACCATCTGAACAATGACTTACAGGTACAAGCAGTGTACGGATTGCAGATACTGTAGGGAACTTCCTCAGTATGATACTCACAGCAGCTTCTCCAAGCAGCTGGGTTGGTAGTGGCAATGACATTAGCAAAAGTCATCTTGACAATTACTATCGCATGCTGGCAATTATAACCCTATTCTCCACGTTTTTGTTCACCATTGTGAAAAACAGCAATGTAAAGACAGTGACACAAATGCTGTCACATTATTTTTTCAATTTGTAGCAGTTATTAGTTGGTTTTTAATCCAATTTGTTTTTCCATTGTAGTGCAGTTAACTTTCAATTTTTAGTAGTTTCTTTATTTCCTTGTCAAAAGTAGATTTGTTCAATGGAAAGTTTCAGTTCTGCACTTACCAGATCTTCATCTCTTTGTTTACAAACTAACAATTGGTATCAGAGCACTTTTGTTCTTGGAGGGACCGTGTCGTCTGAGTGTAAACACGTGAGGGAGTGATTTCAACCATGGAATCCTCTACTTTCACACCCAAAACTCCATCCTTTGCAGGCCAAAACTACTCTGCTTGGTCTGTGAAGATGAAGGCCTACCTAAGGGCGTTTGATCTTTGGGATTTTGTTGAAAATGATAGGGAACCTGCAGCCTTGCCGGAAAACCCAACTTTAAATTAGATCAAGAGGCACACAGAAGAGTCTACAAAGAGGTACAAGGCTCTTACGTGTATCCATGGGTCTGTGTCAGATGAAATTTTCAACAGAATTATTACTTGTGAGACAGCAAAGGAAGCCTGGGACACAATCAAAGAAGAGTTCCAAGGAGATCAAAAAACCAAGGAGATCCAAATTAATAACTTGAGAAAGGAGTTCGAGGTGTTGAGGGTGAAAGAAACAAAGACAGTGAAGGAATATTCAGACCGAGTGATGAAGACGGTGAACCAAATAAGGGTCCTTGGTGGAGAACTCAGAGAACAAAGGGTTGTTGAAAAAGTTCTTGTCAGTCTACCAGAAAAATTTGAGCACAAAATCTCCTCATTGGAAGACTCAAAGGATCTTTCAAGGATGACTTTGAGTGAACTTGTTGGTTCTCTTCAAGCCGTTGAGCAAAGAAAGGCTATTAGACAAGAAAGTACATCTGAAGGAGCTTTCCTTATGACAGAAAAAGGAAAAGCTCAAGTGAAAGAAGATGACACTCAGGTGATAGGTGGAGGTAAAAAGCAGTTCAACAACAGAAAAGGAAAAGAAAAGAGAGAGTACCAGTACAGCAGGTTTAAAGAAAGAAGGGACAACACGCCTTTTTGTTCTAATTGTCAAGTGAAGGGTCACTTGGATTATCATTGCTGGTTTAGACCAGGAGTGCAGTGTAGAAAGTGCAAGAAGTTTGGCCATGTTGAAAGGGTTTGCAAG